ATCAAAGCATGACGAGCACAAATTGAAGACGAGTGAATCAATTTCAAAGCACAATCCCACTGCTGTTCTGGCAGGGTTGTCTGAAGCTCTTCCTCCCATCTCAGCTTAATATGAGAAATGAATTTGGGGACCAAAGCATCTAGTATTTTATACAAGGCTGATATCAGTCTGTTTTGATGAGGGTTCGTCTGCAGGATGATATCCAGATTTGTTTCTGGAGGCCGATTGGGAAAGTGAGGGAACTGCGTTTTTACAAAATTTCTAGCCTGAAGATAGCGAAAAAAGTTGGAATTAGGCAGGTCGTATTTGGATGATAGGTCAGCAAAAGATAGAAAGGTGTCCTGACTGTACAAGTCCTTAACAGTCCTAAGTCCGTTATCTTTCCAACTACTAAAGGCCGCATCAGTGTTTGAAGGTGCAAAATTACAATTTTTTGATAAAGGCGTTAGCAAAGACGGTCCAAGTAGCCCGAAATATTTTCTGAACTGTCGCCAAATAGTTACTGTTTCCTTAGCTATTGGATTATCCCCAACAAAGGTTGGAGAAAAAGGGAGTGGTGAGCTGAGTATTGATGATAATGAGTAACAGCTAGATGCAGTTTCCATTTGTACCCAGGCTGTTACAGGGGGGTCGTTATGAACCCATTGTAAAAGTTTTTGTATGTTAGCTGCCCAATAGTAGTGTCTAAAATTGGGCAGACCAAGACCACCATCACTTTTAGAGGACTGAAGAATAGACTTGCGAATTCCAGCTTGTTTCCCTCCCCATATGAAATGTGACAGAATCTTTTCTAACTTGTCAAAAAATGCCTTGGTAAGAAAAATCGGGACATGTTGAAAAAGATACAAGAATTTTGGGAGGACACTCATCTTTATCAGGTTAACTCTCCCTGCTACTGACAATGGTAGAGAAGTCCAACGGTCACAATCTTTCCCAACATTTTCTATTAGGGATAGAAAATTCTCCCTCATCATTTTATGTATAGAAGAGGAAATAAAAACCCCCAAATATCTAAATCCGGTTTCTGTCCACTTAAAAGGCACTATTGAGTGGGGAAGAGCTCTGGCCAGGGAATTAAGGGGTTGCAACTCACTTTTTTGATAATTGACCTTATATCCTGACAGTGTACCATATTGGTCCAGTATGTCAAAAAGCACCGGGAATGAGTTTAGAGGGTCAGAAATGTACAGGAGCAAGTCATCTGCATAAAGGGAGAGTTTGTGAGTCACACCGAACCTTGTAATGCCTTTAAATCTATCCTCTGAACGCAGCCATATTGCAAGAGGCTCGATAGCAATGGCGAATAGGAGGGGTGAGAGAGGGCACCCTTGCCTAGTGCCCCTCTCAAGTGGAAAAGGCAAAGACAAGTTGTTGTTAGTACGAATACAGGTGGATGGCGAGGAATATAGTAGCTTAACCCAGAGAATAAAGTCAGCCCCTAAGCCAAACCTATCCATCACCTCATAGAGGAAGCTCCACTCGACGCGGTCGAAAGCTTTCTCCGCGTCAAGAGATACCACAACCTCTGGAATTGAGTTGCACGATGTATGGATAATATTCAAGAGGCGTCTTGAATTGTCATATGAGTGCCTGCCGGCCATAACCCGTCTGGTCAGAGGCGATAATTTGTGGCAGAACACGTTGTAGCCTAAGTGCGAGGATTTTAGATAGTATTTTAAAATCAATATTTAAAAGAGAAATTGGTCTGTAACTGCTGCACAACAGAGGATCCTTGTCCTTTTTCAAGATTAAACAAATAGTAGCTTCGGACAAAGTCTTGGGTAATTGACATTTTGAAAAGGCTTCATTATACATATCTTTCAACAACGGTGCCATAAGATCAGAATTGACTTTATAGTATTATATCTGTGTTTTTTATTGTACATAAACAGCCCCTCACCACGGAGAGATCGCCATCGCAGCAAGAGCCCCCGGCGCCACCGCAGCAGGTCCAGAGAGAGACGCCACCGCTCCAAATCACCAGGTAATTAAAGGGGAGATCAGTGTTCTGTGGCCATATGGTGTAACCACAATAACAGACAGCTGAGAATGGGGGAAAATATGGGTTATTAAAGAGTCTGCAGACATTTAAGTTAAAGAAGCAACCAAATATATCATTCATATGATTTAGAACATGTATGTTCTCCATCAACTTGGAGTTCCAAAGCATTTTAGCCATTGTATCTTTAACTGCTCACTTACTAATGAACAAAGCACTTTGTTTACAGTTAATCAACCAAAATTAATCGATTGGCTTGTTACTGTTATTTTTGTTATATGTATATATATGTACAGTGGTGACTCGTTTATCGTGGTAGTTACATTCTAATAATAACCCACAATAGGTGAAATCCTAAAATAAAAATAATATATGGTTGAATATATATCGGACATTCTTACCTCCAACAGGGTTTTTTAAAAAATGCATGCAAACCATAAAACACCTGAGCCAGACATTTTTGTGGGACACTCAGGATCAGGGCCAGTGGTCCACAGGATGACTTGGATTCAAATTTGTTTTCATCTGTTTATTTTTTGCAAAGATTTGTGCCACAATATCAGTGGGTTTTAAACCACTGAAATGAAGCCAGCAATCATAGAAATTCATGTTGTTCTTCTGCCATCCTTTTTGCAACCATGTTTTAAGTTTTTAGCACTGGAAATGTTCAAGTTATTTCCATAGTTACATAAGTTTGGAAAACTTTTGTCTATAACTAAAAATAACTTGGTGTCATTGTTGTGATCCAGGTCACCACAGAAGCCACAGACATCGCAGCCATTCCAAGTCCCCAGAGAGGTGAGTATTATTATTATTATTATTATTATTATTATTAATGTATATCTGGGTAACGTTATTTGATTAGTGGGCGCTGTGCTTCCTGGTCTTGATGTCAGTGACTTCGATCTCCTCCTGTGACCAGCTTATTATCCCAGCAGGGTACCTGATCACAGGCATAGGTGTTGATAGCCCAGATCTTGTTCTTACCATTCAGTTGACTCCTTGCGTACTGCTCCTTGGGGCTGTTCATCTTGTAGCCAAACATCTCATGATCACTGCTGCCATAGATCAGCTGGTTAGTCTCGGTAATGTTTGCAGTACGTATTGTCCGTAGTGCTGCATTCACATCATCTAGAAGACCTTCAGAGGGTAATTTATGTAATCTTGGTAACCGGCTACAGAGGGTCCAGGATCCTGTCTTTCAGGTCAATTCCTCTCTCACTTAACGATACTTTCTTGATACCCGGGGCTTCATTCTCACCCAAACTTGGGTATCTCCCCCTGACTTGTCGTCTTGGCTCCCCCTTGTGTTGCATTTGTGTTGTTCCTTGCCAGTCTCTAGCTGTGAGAGCAGTTTCTCCATTATACTTTCATGATTTTAATTGTCTATAAACAAGTAACTAAATTAAGTAACTAACAAGAAATAGCACAAGCACACTATACTGTGCCGTAATTTGATATGGGCTAAAGACAGAAAAGAAGGAGAAAGAAAGAGAAATGTGTATTTTTAAGCTCCAAGTTAAAAATAACAAGACAGAGAGGGAGAAGAAAGAGTTTCCCTCTGTGTGCATATTTGTATTCACCAACTCCAGTGTAGTGGTATTAGAATATTCATTGTTTATTTAACTTGGTTTTGTTTTGTTTCACGTTACAGGAGTTCAAAAAAGAGTCACAAGAAGAGTCGAAGAGGAAACGAGTGATTTTTTTCTTTCTTTTTGTCTTTATACCAAACTTTCAGAAATCTGCTTTCTAATTCCTGTGTATTTGTTTTCTTTTCCCTTATTGTTTTTTTATGGGGGGGGAGTATAAATATATAAAATATTTCATGTAAACATGTTCATTGTGCTTAGAATGTGTTTCATAATCTGATTTGATCTGACATTTCAAAAATAAAGGCCCCTAAATTGTGACTCTTCGGATGTTTCAAGGATGTTGTTGTTGTTGTGATAGAATTAGTAGTAGTAGTAGTTGTTATTATTATTATTATTATTAACTAGAGCAGGGCGATATGGCCAAAAATATTTATCACGATATA